GTGTCATAGGTACAGTAGTAGTTGGTGGGTGTCATAGGACATGTAATAGTTGGTGGGTGTCATAGGTACAGTAGTAGTTGGTGGGTGTCATAGGACATGTAATAGTTGGTGGGTGTCATAGGACATGTAATAGTTGTTGGGTGTCATAGGTACAGTAGTAGTTGGTGGGTGTCATAGGTCTTGTAATAGCTGGTGGGTGTCATATATATTACATTAGAAGTTGGTGGGTGTCATATATAATACAATAAATTTTGGTGGGTGTCATATATCCAGTCAATAGCATAACAACGTAAGATTACATTAAAAAACAAAGGTTTTTCTTGAGGGCCTCAATACCTTTGAAAGAGTTACTGAAGGATATACATCAAAATTACACCCTCTATATCAATGTTCTCAACAGAAACACTACTCTGTCTAAAGGCGGACTCGTTGATTGATTCAAAGTATTAAACCAGTTCTAAATCTTAGATCATATGTATTATTGGTTAAAGACAGAAACAAAATATTTGCAACAAACTTATTGGTTTTGTTTTTAAGTACATGCCAACTACTTAAATCTCTCGGACAATGCTACTGAACAAGTCACTGTTTTTCTGACAGAGTTATTTCTTACCTAAAGAAATGATATTATTCAACTGATTCATGCTGTTTAAAATTTTATATGTAATGAACAAACAGACAGATAGATTTCTACCTTGAAAGTTGAATAATTTCATAAACTTGACCCTGTATCTTTTTCGTTCGAAAAACAGCATCGCATGAACTTGTTCCTTCTGGTATTTCCAATTTTCTTACTTTAACTTTCTCCTTTTGTTCCTTCTACGATTTCACGTAAACTCGTCTGCTGAAGCAACACGCGTTTAAATACCACATAGTAACCGCTAGATGGCAATACTGGTGTAGAGAAGAGAGCGAGCTCATAGTCTCTACCACTGGAACGTTCCTGTTGGTCCAATGTGTCAACCGTATAGCCATAAGACTTGGCATCTCGCACCTGAAGCTTTATTACGTGGGACGACGCGTTTCTTGAGACGCCTCCTATTGATCGTAAAATACTGGAAACGCTTTTCAACGCTAGAGAGCCCGTTCCGCACCGGTGCTTGAGCAATCAATCAGGATCCCAAACTTTAACGTCGAGTATTTTGACAGAAAACATAACATAGGACTTTTGCCTGAGGAATGCTAGATTAATTTTACCGAGAAAATATTATTTTATTCATTTGAAGAAGTCGACAAACAGAATTGGTTCGGGTCAATCTCTGAATAAACCAGGACTAAATATTAATTTTCTATACGTCTTGTCTATTCCGAAATGTTAGGCTGTTCATTTCGTATACTTACGTTAAAGAAATATTCTTTGTTACCCTGATCCGAGGGCTACACCATTAGGGGTATGACTTGTTAGAAGCAGGCTCCCACCCTCGGTAGTATCCAGGATAGTTTTAAGGCTAGGGTTCCCAAATTGGGGGCAGCAGGAAACTTTCAGAAGGGCTGTAGCAAATACACGAAAGTATTTATAAAAACATGCATGTGACATGTTAAAAAAAAGCAGAAAATAAATAAATAAACGAATCTTAAAATATACTTTTTTTAAATATGATGTTTACAATGAAAGTAAGATAAGTTATACTGAGTATCTATATCTTCTCCGAGTAGGGGACTTAGTCAGGATGCGGGATGTTCAGGGGTAGTTTCACATTGAGAGAGCTTGGGAACGGATATCCAGGTGGCTGCTCACTCCAGATTCCCTCATGTTTGTTCTATAATTAGGTCACAAAGTCTGATTCCGTGTACTAAAGCTGCATTTTATACGCACAGATAACACTTATTTTTGTGTCATTGATTTTCATGGGGTGAGTTTTTCCCCTTGAGTTCTAAAGTTTACACGAAGCTAGAATGATACCAATTTACTTTACTTGACCTATAATGGGGTAAAAAAAGGTCAGATGTAGGGTTAAAATCACTAAATTTTAGATTAACTAAAATGACTGGTCACAACTGTTAAAGATTTACGGTAAAACAGATTCGACCTAACCAAACAAACTTTACACCCCCTAGTGGCTCAGCTGTAAGTCTGTAGGTTTACAACACTAAAAATCGGGTTTCGATACCCGTGTACAGCAGAGCACAGATAGCATATTATGTAACTTTGCGCTTAGCAACAACTTAGCCAATTTCACTTAAAAATTCTGCCCCAATTCCTTTTAAGTAATATATCTAATTCGACTGTATCTATGGGTAATGGGAATGACAAGGTAAGTACTTCATCAGAATTATACTGTATCTATGGGTAATGGGAATGACAAGGTAAGTACTTCATCAGAATTATAACCGTTTATGAATGTAAAACGATTTTCTCTTTAATCACGCAACCTTTACATGCAATGAATAGTTTGTTTGTTTGAAAATTTCGAGCAACGCTACAAGATCGAGGACTATTCACACATGGCCGTACCTATTTTTTAAGTTTATTGATAGGCAGCTAGTCAACAGCACCCCTATCTTACAACTATTGGACTACTCTTGTGTGATTGTATAGTTGGATTTGAGCGCCACTCCTATAACGCTCATACAGCCCCAAAGTGCGGAGCGAGAATTTGTGGTAACGGGAAGCAAACCACGAATCTTCGAATTCATAGCCTTGGCACGCTAATCACTGAGAAGTAGATAGTTGTGATGAAATATGACAGTAATCCTGTTTTTAAAATTTTATATCAATTTCTATTATAACCTTTAATGCGAGAAATAATAAAATCATGGAACACAAACCACAAAAAGAAATAAGAGAGAATCTTCAATAGCCACAGTACCTGAAATTCGTTTAGGCATGATTGGAGTAAATTAATTTATGAAACATTTTTTTTATCTTTTTATTAGCTATGTTTTAGTGCGCCAGCAATGCCAAGCGTTGGGCGTGCTTATACCCGATTCGATTTTAATACTCATCAGGATCTCTACGAGCCTACCCTCAAATTGAAATTATTTTAGGCACGATTAGAGTAAATTAATCTATGAGACATTGGGCGTGGTCAAATACATCAACCGAAAGGGTTTGACCTCCTGAGTCCAAATCGGTCAAGAGATGACGGAGCTATGAGTTAAAAGTTTGTACTTGAAAAAAAAAGAACTCAGAGCCATTCTGTGAGACGATGTGCCATGGCTAAAAATACACTTACTGAAGTTACGCCTTATTAAAATCTAACAACGGCCAATTCAACTCCCCCCTCCTAAATTCTCTAAGACTACAGTTGCCATTGCTTTATTATTTTGTTGTTGTAACTTTTGCCCTCCGAAATATAACGAATGGTGTGATTTAATATTTGGGAAATTTGACACGAATGTGGGAACTACTTATGAAAACGGAGTAATAATCATTGAAGTGTAAACGATCAACGTGGGGGGAAAAGAAATCAAAGTATATTTAAAACTGAACTTTCTTTCAATCTAGTTAAAATGATTGATCACAACTGTTAAAGATTTAAGGTAGAATAGGCCCGATCTAACCAGCCAATCTTTAATAGAATTATAATCCGGGATTTAAGATTATGCGTCAAATGTATGTCAGACGTAAAAGGAACGGAAAATAATATATAAAGGTGTGCTTTAACATGAATTCGTGTTCTTTGCACGTTCCTGTTTTCATGTTTTTTTTAGTGTGTTTAGTTTAATGCCAAACCTTTTCATTAACGGTTAGTATTGGTTAAAACATATTCTTCCCTCCCCCCCTCACAAACACACCCGAGTTATTTAGTCGTGAGATTTTTTATCTTATTTTTTGTCGGTAAACCCCCAGTGGCACGACTGCGGACTTACAACGCTAGGAACCG